CCCTTTCTCCACCCTTCCCCCACTCATGCTCTGTCTCTCTTCCTTCAAAAATAAATAAACATTAAAAAAAAGAATAGTTTGTCAGATTCTATTTTACTAAGTAGTGTGAAAAGTAAAAGTAAATTTTTAATGTGTAGGCTAATTGAACGTAGACTAATAATACAGTTTCCCATTTTCTTGATATTGAAAACAAAGTGTTCTGAAGTGATTTATCTTTGAATACTTTGTATGATTATGGAACAACTATTTTTCAAACTTGGAGAGTATTCTCAAGGCTCAGAATATAATTAAATATATATTTCTGGGAGACTCAACAAGTAATAGAATGGTTATGTATAATAGCTGAAAGAAGTTCTTGACTAGGAATCTGAAGACTCTTGTTCTATGTTTAGGTGACTTTGGGTTCTGTAGAAACTATTATATGAAAGATGTGAATAACAGAATCAGCACTGTCTGCCTTGTGGGTCACGTGAAGTGATATCTGAAAAAGCTTTGCAAGTTATGGAATAACATCCTAATGTATGATGGTAACACTATTCAGTGCTTTGTGGTCATAGGGTATAAACTGTGGATGCAAAGGGAACAGTACACATAGAGACATCATTATCCACAGACACATTGTTAAAGTTCTGTTTTATAAAATTAATTATCGAAAATAAACCAAATAAAAATCGCAAAGTATTGTGTGATGGTTAAAAGAAATTAGGCAGTTCTAAGCTTATTCTTCAAGTTCAAATTTGCTGCACAGAAGTACTGAAAGATATTTGTACATTCAAACTCATCTGAAATAGGGTGTTATGAAATAAGTCGGAGAAGGGCAGATACCATATGATTTCACTCATGTGAATTTAAGAAACAAGAAATGAACAAAGAAAAAGAGACAAAAAAAAAAAATGGATTGTTACCAGAGGGGAGTTGGTTGAGGGGTGAGTGAATTAGTTGAAGGGGATTAAAAGTACACTTAATCATGAGGAGCACTCAGTAACCAATAGAATCGTTGAATCATTATATTGTACACCTGAAGCTAATATAGCTGTAATTATACTGTAGTTGAAAGTTAATTAGAATTAAAAAATGAAATAGGGTATATGTAATGTCAAGCAATCATTATGTAACGATTGTTTTACTTTTAATGATGGTTTTACTTTGTTTTTATTCACACAGGTCAACCTGAGACATTTTCGCAGAGGTCGGAGGAGATCACTTGCCCTTGTAGCACATACTGGATACCTGCCACATCAGCAGGACCCTCATCGTGTCCACAGGAATGCTCCCCTGCACGCCAATGCACTTTGCCACTTTCATATTGCAGCCAGCATCAACCCAGCCACAGGTAAGAGAACACTGTTCCAAAAATGTTCCTGGAAATTAAGTTGATTTGGTAACAAATAAGTTATACTTCTAGTTTTGAATAAGTAAAAAATTGGTGGTGACTTGTTCACCTAACTTTGTTATAGCCAGTTCAGTAATGACATAGGATAGGTTTTTGTTTACTTGTTTGCTTTTTAAGGCTATGACTTGGTTTGTGATTTAAAATCTTAAGAACTCGTAGGGCACCTGGGTGACTCAGTTGTTAAGCATCTGACTTTGGCTCAGGTCATGAGCTCGCATTTAATGAATTCGTGTCCCACATTGGGTTAGCATGAGCCCCACATCTCTGTCTCTCTCTCTGTCTCTGTCTCTGACCCTCCTGGAATTCTCTCTCTCACTCTCTCTTTCTCTCTCTTTCTCTCTCTGCCCCTTGCTCACTTGTGTCCCCTCCCTCTCTCTGAAAAAAAAATTTTTTTTTTTTAGTCATTGAGATTCTTAATTAGTTTATTCAAAAGTTGAGATGTTCAGGGCGCCTGGGTGGCTCAGTCAGTTAAGCGTCCAGCTTTGGCTCAGGTCATGATCTCATGGTTTGTGCGTTCGAGCCCCGCATCAGGCTCTGTGCTGACAGTTCAAAGCCTGGAGCCTGCTTGAGATTCTGTGTCTCCCTCTCTGCCCCTCCCCCACTCACACTCTGTCTCTCTCTCTCTCTCTCTCAAAAATAAATAAAGCTTAAAAAAAAAGTTGAGATTTGAGCTAAAACTTAACAGGTTAACACCACAAAGTAGTATTTTGTAACTATTGTATGGTTGTTAAAATAAAACCCTTGTGTCTAATGCTTGATTTTAGGAGACATTCCAGAAATAGGGCATAAATATATAGAAGTTGTAAATGGGAATTAAATTTATCTTACTAGTGAGATAATGCACTGTTAGATTAAAAGATCTAGGATATCTGGATCTTTGAATTTTAAAATTAAAGTGCTCATCATTTCAGTAAATATTTTCTGTGAGTTTAAAAAACAAGGGGTCACAGTTGGGACATTTAAAGCAGAACTAGAATATTACTGAGAAAAAGATTAAAAACAGTATTTGCGCATGGTAAATACCATCTGTACAGAAAGTGAAAAGTGAAAGCCTCCTTTCACCTGTGCTGTACCTTAGTCCTTCTCCGCCATAGATAAACCCTATTGAGTTTTTGTATATTTGCAGATACCCTTATGCATAAAGTAAACCTATTTTCATATAGTATACTGGGTTGTTGCTGTACTATTGCATTCTTCAAGGAAAAATAACAATAAATATGGTTCATTAGTTACCTGAATCAAAGTGAGAAGTGCTCTGGTAAGTTAAATATAGGGATATTTACAGAAGGAGTAAAGAGTATTTGCTGACAAATTTGGTTAACAGTCCCAGCTCTAAAATAATTCATGAGCCAAGAAAATGAAAGGGGACAATATTGAACTATTTTTTTTTAAATGTTGATTCATTTTGAGAGAGAGAACGTGCAAGCCCAGGAGCAGTAGAGAGAGAGGGAGAAAATCCCAAGCAGGTTCTGAGCTCCCAACCCAGAGCCCCACGTGGGGTTCAGTCTCATAAACCATGAGATCATGACCTGAGATAAAATCAAGAGTCGGATGTTTAACCGACCAAGTCACCCAGGGGCCCTGAAACTGAACTAGTTTTATGAAAACATTACCTAGGCTTGGGAAATACCATTACCTTTATCAAAAAACGTATACTGACAGTGCTTGTAATACCCACAGGCAACTCTGAGATCACTGGAATAGTTTTGAAAGTCTCTTCTGAAGGAAGGACAACATGTTGAGAATAAAGAAAGCTTGGATTCTTGCTTTAATGGAAAAGTCTGAGTTGTTACAGAAAAATAAACACTAAGTTTCAATGTAGCATCTCCTTGATCACCTTCCAATAAGAAAAACTCTAAAACCTTTCTTTTAGAGTGTAGGTTCTTAATGAAAAGCCATATGTATATAACAAATCAAAGCAAAATAATATTATTAGCAGCTAGATTAGACACCATGGAGTTCTTCTTTTCCCACATTAGACCTTTTGGAATGACCTTTCTGAATGTTGTGTTTGTTATTCAAGGCCAAACTCTTAGAGCTTCCCTTATTTGCCCATCCATAGATAAAGGAAAGGAGCTCGTAGAGAATGTTCTCTTAATACCCATTCCCTGAAGATCTCTCATAAAAAAGTGGCTTTAATGAAATTCTTTGAGGTCAGGAGACAGAAGAAATGTAAGTTTTGTCTTAACCCAGAATGCTTCTGTTAAAAGCCTCCATTAGCCTCTCCTTCTTGTGTGTTTAGCAGCTAGGTCTGTGATCTCCTAGAGGCATTGCTGATCTCTCTTGTGTTGATTGTTGCTTGAAAATCAGAAAATCATACTCATTAGGATTCTTAGGGCACTCTTGCATTCCCTGACACTAATATATATGCACCTAGGGGTAGTAGGACTGGCAATATAGTACCTCAAGACTTTTATTGAGTGTTTGGTCTGTGCCATTATAGCAACCAGAGATATGGTAGGAGCTGGAGGTACAGTGGTAATAGAAACAGATGTGATCCTTGCTTTCATGAAGCATATAATCAGGAGAGAAGAGATAGATGCTAATCAGATAATTACAGTAATGAATGTACAGTTATAAACAAAGTTCTTGGATTGGATATATCTGTCAACTCGTAGAATTTGCCTCCAGCAGAAGGGATAGGAGAAAGGTTTTTTTTATTCTTTATTTTATCATTCATCCTCTGTAATACTGTTTTCATTGGTGTCTGACACAGGTCATTAATTCAAATTATTTATCTCTCCCTTAAAAAAATCAATAAATTTGTTCTGTGGAAAATTGTTAACCTTTTGTGAATCCAATGTAGCCTTTACTGTTTAGCAGATATCTGCATGATCCAGATTTAGGTTTGATTTAATATGATAGGCAAATTTTTCTTCACCTTTATGTTAATTAGGGACTATCATTTGTCACATTCTACTCTGAATTTGTACGTCAGTATACTTAATTTAGCAATTAGATGAAAAGTACTACCAAGAAAGAATTTTTTTTAGCTGAGTTCGTTTGTCTTAAATGCCTTCCTTGAGTACAAGATAGGGATCTCAGTTTCTCCTTTACAACTTGAATCTTGATGCTAATAAATCAGAATTATCTCACTTAGAGTTAGATACATCATTTAAAAAGTTACTGTCAGTCTCTAAATTAAAAAGTGGTTAAAATCAAGATAAATATATCACTTGTTCCTCTGACATCATATTGATGGAATTTTTTTTGGTAGATTAGGTTAAAAGAGATTTCTTACCAGTTTGTATGTAAATTAAGGACACTTTCCTATTAACTATCCACAAATCACAGATTTATTTCTTAATGAAAATATTTTTTGAATTAAAATATCTGAAAAACAAATAATCCAGTGAAGAAATGGGCAGAAAACATGAATAGACACTTCTCTAAAGAAGACATTCAGATGGCCAGCAGGCACATGAAAAGATGCTCAACGTCGCTCCTTGTTAGGGAAATACAAATCAAAACCACACTCAGATATCACCTCACGCCAGTCAGAGTGGCCAAAATGAACAAATCAGGAGACTATAGATGCTGGAGAGGATGTGGAGAAACGGGAACCCTCTTACATTGTTGGTGGGAATGTAAACTGGTGCAGCCACTCTGGAAAACGGTGTGGAGGTCCCTCAAAAAATTAAAAATAAAGCTACCCTACAACCCAGCAACAGCACTGTTAGGAATTTACCCAAGGGATAGTGGAGTGCTGATGCATAGGGCCACTTGTACCCCAATGTTTATAGCAGCACTTTCAACAATAGCCAAATTATGGAAAGAGCCTAAATGTCCATCAACTGATGAATGGATAAAGAAATTGTGGTTTATATACACAATGGAATACTACGTGGCAATGAGAAAGAATGAAATATGGCCTTTTGTAGCAACGTGGATGGAACTGGAGAGTGTTATGCTAAGTAAAATAAGTCATACAGAGAAAGATCCCATGTGTTTTCGCTCTTAATGTGGATCCTGAGAAACTTAACAGAAGACCATGGAGGAGGGGAAGGAAAAAAAAAAGTTAGAGAGGGAGGGAGCCAAACCATAGGAGACTCTTAAAAACTGAGAATAAACTGAGGGTTGATGGGGGGTGGGAGGGAAGGGAAAGTGGGTGATGGGCATTGAGGAGGGCACCTGTTGGGATGAGCACTGGGTGTTGTATGGAAACCAATTTGACAATAAATTTCATATTAAAAAAGATAATAAAGAAAATATCTGTATGTGTATATAAATTATGCTATAGGACCTAGAATACATAATTGTTTTCCTTTATAATAGGCATGTTAAATTTATCATTTAAAGCTGTTGTTACTAATAATCGTGGCAAACATTATATTGGGAATCTTAATTAAAATGTTACAGAAGTGTAAAGATAAATGTAATAGTTAATGGTAAAAATATGAGACCTGAATATTGTGTATGATAGAAATATTGTGTGTGTTTTGTTGTTCTTTATAGACATTCCACTTCTTCCTTCTATCACATCTCTAAGTCTAAGTGACAATAATGAGAAGAGTGGGCCTTTTGTGGTACACTGGCTGAACAACAAAGAGTTGCATTTTACTTTGTCCATGGAAGTATTTTTACAGCAACTTAGAAAAAGTTTTGAACAGCCATCTTCTGAGCCCAGTGTAGAAGACTCTAATCAGGCAGATGTAAAATCCGATGAAGGTAAAGCTTTAACAAGGATTAAAAAAAAAAAAAAAAAAAATGTCAAGTTTTGTTGAGAATAGCTAAGTTGTCTATATTTGGCTAAAACTAGCTCCTGTCAGAAACTCAGAATTTCAGTGGTGTAATACAGATTTGGAGTAGCTCATTTAAGAATCCAGCTCATTTAACATTCCTGTTGCAAGTGGCTTTCTTTTATGGGATGATAGAGGCTCAGGATTCTCCATACTTATGCTCTTGTCAGCCCCTAGGACCTTGTTACTTAAAGGACTACCTGTGGCCTAGTAGCATTGACATTACCTGAGGCTTGTTAGAAATGCACGATCTTTAAGAATCTGCAATTTAATGAAATCCTCAGGTGATTGTACTAGGGCCTTAAAGTCTGCATTCAGCCTCAGGTAGGTTGGGAGCTGGAAGAGTCTTCGGAGGGGGGACAAGGTTTAGCTGTTTCTCAACATCTTTAACTCAGAATTGGCACATATCACAAACCATTTATATTCTAATTTAACTGGCAAAGACTAGTCATAAGGCCCATGCAGTCCCTGACTGGGTGGTCATTCTATACTGAGGACTAGGAAGCATGAGTTTGTGGTGGGTAGCTAGCCATCTCTGCTACAATTTGTAGTTCATAAATATTTCTGTTTTTAAAAAGTTTTGTTTTGATTATAAGGTTGTATGGGCTCATTAAAAAAAAGAAATCAAACAGTACAGTTAGGAAAATAATTGGATATTGTATGAGTGTACTTCCAAGATCTATTCTTTTCTGTGCTCATACAAACATACATATGGTTGTTTTTTTAAGTTGTGCTGTAGGTATTCATTTTTTAAACAAAAACACTGATCTGCCTGCAGCTTGCTTTTTAAATTCACTGATGGGCCCTTTTCCATCTCATGATTTTTACCAGCTCTTGATTATTCCATATCAAGAGAAAATTTGAGTATTTTCTCTTTGATTGACATTTAAATTGATTTAAATTATTTTTCACTATACTGATCATGGTACAATGACACATCTTTTAATCTTCCTGTGAATTTTTACATAAGAGGATTTCCAGATACAGAATTGCCAGAGAGTGTGGACATTTTAGATTTCAATAACTTTTGCCAAATTACCCTCCAGAAGTGTTTATAATCAATACCCTTTTCTAATGGATCCACATAACCTTTTTTCACATCCTTGCCAACACTGGAGCTTTTCATTATATTTCATAATATTTTTGCCACTTGATATGGGGAAAATGGCATCTTGTTTTACATGTCATTTTCTTGAGGCAAATTGAATAGAATTATTTTAGCTCTTCTGTGGTATGCCTCTTCCTGCTCTTTGCCTATTTTTCTGTTAAATTATTTTTCTTAATAATTTGTATGTCTTAACAAATTTTTTAAATCTGATAAACGGTCTTACCATTTTTTGAGTCTCTCTTAAGAACGTCTCTATTTTCCTAACCAAGAGTAGAGGCCAGGATTTTTGAAATAGAGGTCACAATATGCATATGTACCTGTTTTAATAGTTCAGTATAGCAGTTTTAGTTACCTGTGTTATTGAAGGAGATCTGGAAATTGCACTTTAAGTGTATTCCTTTAAAATAGTTTCTTTAAGGTGTCCTATCAGTTATGAGTGTATACACCTAGAGCATCACTAGTACAGTGGACTCATGTTTTTAAAAATCTAATATTATGAAGAAAATACAAATTGCATTCCAATAATATATTTCAGCCCAGAATTATATCCCCAGTTCTAACTCCGTGGTTTTACTGTGAGAAAAACTAAGGTCCAGACAAGTAGTATGTTTTACTTCTGAGTAAATTGTGGTACAACCAGTTTTGCTATTTTCTAGTCCAGTATTAGTACTCTACCATTAATCCACTGAGTCAGTCCTATAGGCCCTCTAGAATTAACTCTAATGGTCTTATATTCCTGGAGCAAAGTTATTTTTAAAAAGGAGCCACTTTCTTGTTTATAGGAAAGCCGTTATGTTTTTAATCTTGAATGTATTTACAAGGGTGTTTCTTAATTTATAGTAATAGCTTAATTGTACTTACTGGGTCATGAATTCTTTTGCTCATAGAAATGGATGATGGTGTTGATGATCTGAAAGCAAATCATGAAAAAAAGGAATTGGGCAGTGATAAAATGGTACCAAATTCAAGTTTTGTACCATTACCCTCCACTGCCATTGATCATCAGATTGAAGTACTTCTGTCTGAATGGAGTAAAAATGCAGACATGCTATTCAGTATTCATCCCATGGATGGTTCTTTGCTGGTTTGGCATGTGGATTGGCTGGACGAATACCAGCCTGGTATGTTTCGTCAAGTCCAGGTACTATTATTACGATCTCTGGAGAGCTACTTCTTGTTAAATGTGGGTACTGTTTTGTAATACCTCTTTTTATTATTTCATGTGTTCTAATGCTTGCTTTCTTAATTCTAGGTGTCCTTTGTTTCCAGAATTCCTGTAGCTTTCCCCACAGGTGATGCAAACTCTCTCTGTAAAAGCATAGTGATGTATGCCTGCACCAAGAATGTTGACTTGGCTATTCAGCAAGGAAAACAAAAACCTTGTAGTCTCACACGGTCCACATCAATGCTAATCTCCTCTGGTCACAGTAAATCAACTAATAGTTTAAAATTAAGTATTTTTACCCCTAATGTTATGATGATTTCAAAGCATGCTGATGGCTCTCTGAATCAGTGGCTGGTCAGTTTTGCTGAAGAATCTGCTTTTTCTACAGTTCTCAGTATTTCTCATAAATCCAGATATTGTGGTCATCGGTTTCATCTTAACGATTTAGCTTGCCATTCAGTATTACCATTACTGCTGACGACGTCACACCATAATGCACTAAGGACACCGGATGTCGATAACCAAAAGCAACCTCATGATCCCGTATATATTGAAGAATGTTCTTTGGCACAACAGAATAAAAGCAGCGTTGATGTGACATTTCAGGATCCCAATGCAGTTTATAGTGAGCTTATTCTTTGGAGGGTTGATCCCGTTGGGCCATTGTCTTTTTCTGGAGGTGTTTCTGAACTGGCCCGGATTAATTCTCTACATGTTTCTGCATTTTCCAATGTGGCGTGGCTGCCCACTCTTATACCCAGCTACTGTCTAGGTGAGCTTTCTAATTCTTATTTAAGAGATTTAGATTTTCTGACATTATTATTTAAGGGTTAAATTGTAAGTGTCCGTAAATACTTTCTAGGTGCATACTGCAACTCTCCTAGTGCATGCTTTGTAGCAAGTGATGGGCAGTATCTGAGATTATATGAAGCTGTTATCGATGCCAAGAAACTTCTATATGAGCTTTCCAATCCTGAAATTTCTGTAAGTAAATGGCTTTTAAAATTAAGTGTATAGTATGATGTTTTTAGATAAGTAATTTATATTTATTGGGCATGTTCTAGAATTGTGACCTATAATTTGTAGTAAATAGATGTACATTTTCTAGTTATTTCATTTTTTTCACATTTGTAAGGTACCATTATAGTGATTCTTAGCTTCTTTAAAAAGAAACCATTTCTTTTATTCATTCCAAAAGTAAAGTCTGGTTTCCTACAATATGTGTTTCTCTAATACTTCTTTGCTCAGAAATGAATGAGGATGACTGGCAGGATAAATGTGGAAGTTATGTTGATTCACCTGTAGTGTTTTCAAGACACTGGGAGCTGGAGTAGCAGCAGTAGAATTTTAATCTTAAACCATGAAAGAAAAAAGCTCTCAACTTCGTTGCAGTTCAGTTATTGTCCTTTCAACTCCTCACAAAGCCTTTGTCTTATGATAGGCGGTGCTTCTTCCTCTACACAGCTAATAGCAACCCACCAGCAAGCCAGCATTTCCACTCTTGGCTTTGGTGTTTTTAAATGAACCCTGAGGTAACCTTCAACCTCACTGAGCTTATTGTTCAGGGAACTCAAGCCATCTCCTCAGCTACCAGTTAACGTTTTTGTTAATGTTTTAGTTATATAATTGCATAGTGTCACTGGTCTGCTCCAATCCTGTTTTTTTCCTATTTTTAATGTGTGGTTTTTCAGAATGCAGGGTTTTTCAAAACACATACAAGAGTGTTATAGGAGAAACATGCATATTTATTGAGGGCCTTCTATTTTTCAGGTATTATTTAAATGCTGGGAATTTAGATGTGAAGAGAGCAGACAAAAATCTGAGCTTACATTCTAGTGAAGGGCTATAGGAAAAAAGGTAAAAATATATTAATAAATACTGTGGAGAGAAACCATGTTGCAGAATTAGTGGAGAATGCCAAATAAGGGGCCGGTCAGGATAAGCCTCACAGAGAAGGTACCATTTGAGAAAGGATCTAATGGAGATGAAGGAGCTAGCTATGTGAATATTTAGAGAAAGAGTATGTTAGGAAGAGGAACAGCTAGTGCAAAGATGCTGAGGTCAGAGCATGTTTGGTATGTACAGGAGCAGCAAGGAGGATATTGTGACTGGAGCGGAGTAAGTGATGTGGAACGTAGTCAGGGATAAAGTTGGAAAATCAGCCTGGCCAGATCATACAATGGGCTGTATGGCCCGTTTTGGTAACTTTGGCTTTTAATCTGAAGAACATGGAAACCATTGACAGGTTGATATGATCTCACTTAGGTTTTGAAAGGATTTCTCTTGCTGTTGTACACATTAGACATGGGAGCAGAAGTGGAATCAGAAAGGCCAATCCAAGAATCTTTATAGTAGTCCAAGAGACAGTCTCAAAGCGGCTTGTAATGGTAGCAAGTGGTAGTGATAAAGATGGTAAGATTTGGACAAATCTTAACAGTGTGGAGGTTCCTCAAAAAATTAAAAGTAGAACTACCCTATGACCCAGCAATAGCACTGCTAGGAATCTACCCAAAGATACAGAAGTGCTGATGCATAGGGGTACATGTACCTCAATGTTTATAACAGCACTTTCAACAATAACCAAATCATGGAAAAAGCCTAAATGTCCATCAACTGATGAATGGATAAAGAAGATGTGGTTTATGTATACAAAGGAATACTACTTGGCAATGAGAAGGAATGAAATCTGGACATTTGCAACAACTGGAGGGTATTATGCTAAGTGAAATAAGCCAGGCAAAGAAAGACAGATACCATATGTTGTCACTCATATGTGGATCCTGAGAAACTCAACAGAAGACCAGGGGGGAGGGGAAGGGGAAAAAAAAAGTTACAGAGAGGGAGGGAGGCAAACCGTAAGAGACTCTTAAACTCTGAGAACAAACTGAGGGTTCTTGGGGGATACAGGGGAGGTGAAAGTGGGTGATAGGCAGGGAAGAGGGCAGTTGTTGGGATGAGCACTGGGTGTTGTATGGAAACCAATTTGACAAGAAATTATATTTAAAAAAAAAATTGGACAAATCTGGATGTGGTTTGAACATCAAATAGGCAAGATTGAACTGGATTGGGGCTTGTATGAGCAAAAGAGGATGATGCCCCACATTTGTGTGTGAGCACAAGGAAGAATAGAATGACCTTGAGTTGAGAAGAATGTATAAGTAGCAGATTTTGAAGAGCATGGATTTTTGAGAGGCTGGTGTTGGACATGTTAATGTTGAGATGACTGTTTGACACCTAGGAGACCTAGTAAGCTAGTCTATAGTTTAGAGGGAAGCCCAGTCTGAAGATATAAAATGAGTAGTTGTCAGAATATAAATTTAAAAGCATGGAGCTGAATGAGATCCCTGAAGAAAAGGAGAAGTGATAGGATTGAACCCTGGAGCATGCCATTGTTGAAAGTAGGGTAAATGTGGTGTATAGTGGAAGCCGAGTGAAGACAGTTCAAGAAGGGAGTGATCACCAGAATCAAATGCTGCTCATAGATTAAGTGTGTTGAAGATCAAATTTAACAATGTGACCTTGACTAGAGTAGTCAGGACATAAGTAGCTTGAGAAATCAGCATATAGACATAATATATCAGCTTGTTTCTTTAGCTCCATCTTCCTTACCTCAAAATTAATCCCCGAAGGGACACCTGGGTGGCTCAGTTGGTTAAGCGTCCGACTTCAGCTCAGGTCATGATCTCGCGGTTTGTGAGTTCGAACTCCGCGTTGGGCTCTGTTCTGACAGCTCATGGCCTGGAGCCTGCTTCGGGTTCTGTGTCTCCCTCTCTCTTTGCCCCTCCCATGCTCAGGCTCTGCCTCTTTTGGTCTCTCAGTAATATATAAACGTTAAAAAAAAAAATTTTTTTTTTTTAATTAATGCCCGAAAAGCATTGATTCTTAGAATATTTCCATGAGATTGAAGTCAGTCCTTCATATTTATAGATGTGACATATTCTTTCCCCTAGCAGTCGCTGCACACTGCTTTTGTTTTTCTCTGTACCAACTGAGCCATAATTCTTATTCTTTCCAACATAATTAGGTAAGGTAAAGTCCCAGAATGTTTATGATGAGAGCAACTTAGGGACTGATTTAGCCCCACTTGAACTTATTTCTCTACTATGCCTGAAATTTCATGTTAATTATTAATTATTTTTTAATTTAATTGTTTAATAAGGGAGATATCCATTTTTTTTTTTTTTTAAACAGAAATATGTTGGTGAAGTGTTTAACATAGTAAGTCAGCAGTCAACTGCCAGGCCAGGATGCATTATCGCATTAGATCCCATTACCAAACTTGTAAGTATTATTCTTCTGGCCACTTAGCATTAGGTAAATAACACGTATGTCAACTTATATATGTTGGTATTTATTTACATTCAGCAAGGCAGAAAAACCCAGCTGCTTCATGTTTTTCAAGAAGATTTCATTTTGAATAACCTCGAGAAGAAAAGTCTGGGAAAAGACAGAATATTGTCTGATTCAGGTAAAGAATAATTTTTTTATGTAGTGAGAAATATTATGTAGAGTATATTAAGCAGTTAATGAAGATAAGTTGATATAGTATTTCATACCATCTATGTGAACTTAAAATTTTCCTATGTAGGTTTCTTATATTATTTAGCATATAAATACCAGTATTTTTGGGGCGCCTGGGTGGCTCAGTTGGTTGAGCGTCTGACTTCGGCTCAGGTCATGATCTCACGGTCCGTGAGTTCAAGCCCCGCGTCGGGCTCTGTGCTGACAGCTCAGAGCCTGGAGCCCGTTTCGGATTCTGTGTCTCCTTCTCTCTCTGCCCCTCCCCTGTTCATGCTCTGTCTCTCTCTGTCTCAAAAATAAACAAACATTAAAAAAATTTTTTCTTTAAATAAAAAAAAATACCAGTATTTTTAAATTCTTAAACCTGGATATAAACATGAAAACATTAAAGGGGTTTGTCAATTACATTTTTTAAAAAGCATAATAGAAATGTTTTTTATGAGAAATGTATGAGTACTCTTTGCATGGACAGGGTCCTCCACCAGCAATTTGGGTAATAGGGACACCTGACCTTTTAGAAACCTACAGTTTAAAGCAGTAACGTAGGGACGCCTGGGTGGCTCAGTTGGTTGATCGTCCTTTGGCTCGGGTCATGATCTCATGGTGGTGAGTTCAAGCGCCATATTGGACTTTGCATTAAAAAAGCACAGAGCCTGCTTTGGATTCCCTGTCTCCCTCTCTCTCTGCCCCTTTCCCTCAAAAATAAACATTAAAACAAAAAATTTTAAAGCAGTAGCTTAAAACTTCAAATTATAAAGACTGCCTTAATACTTTCAAGTTAAACATTTAAAAAAATTATATTAAACTCCTACACTCAGAATTAACTGTTACTTTGCGTAAAGGAAAATAGAACAAAATGAAACTAAAATCTCTTGGTCATCAGTTTCACGTACGGAGCCAAACCAAACTCAGAAATGACTTTCCTTGCACATGAACCATACATACAGCTTGTGCCTGCTGCTTTTGTTTTCCGGGTTTTTTGTTTGTTGGTTGGTTTTGGTTTTTTGTGCCTGTTGCTTTTTAAAGTCCATTATTAAGCCTCAAGTAATATTATTTTCATTTTATATTTGTTCCTGATTATTTGTCTTATTCCTCTTGTGCATTATTTCTTAATTCTACCTTTTTCTATTTTCCTTTTCTTTTGAGTTTTGCACCGTTACGTCGAATATCTAGTTTCTTACCACTGTTTTCACTTAGTCTGTCATTTTCTCTGAGAATTCATGAACTGTGCAACAACACAGTGCTTTAGTAAGTTCTGAATATAAGGATAGAAAGATACTAAAATTGGTAAATAAAGATGTCAGGTACAAGATAAAGGGTTATTTATATCAACAAAATGTTCTTTTTGATTCCTTTCATATCTTAAAATATTAATAACATTAATATTGTAACGATCCAAATCTCTCTAAGGTTTTTAAAAGAAATTACTCTCTTATGCTTAAGGTTGAGTTTGTTGTGATCTTAATCTATTCCAGCATTTTCTTTTCTATGAGTCTTTAATTTTTAACTTTTGTTTTCTCTTTAAGTCTTTTTTCTAGTTTTTCTTAAAATATTCAGGGAATTCTACTTTTACTCAAAAGCTATTATCTTCATTATTGTAGTTTTCTAGAAAACACCCAAAATGTTCATCTTATTTTGCTGTAATGTTAAGAAGAGAAGAAATATTTCACAGATACTTTCATTAATAGGACATTCTTTCTTGTCAGTAAAATGATCAGAAATAGATTGATCTCTGATCTTTTGTCTTTAGTTATTATCCCTTATCCTTTCCCTCCCCTAAATTCTTGTGCTTTAAATGCCTAACTCACCTGGAACACGTTACCAAAGCTACCTTTTCATTTAGTCTTGTAACACAATATGATTTGTGTGTGGTTTTTTTCCTGATTTTTATATGTTGTATGGTTTATATAGTTTCTATAATTTTTCTTTACATGATTTTGTACATAAGATTAGCTTGTAACCAAGAAGACTTGGATAAAATTTAAACCAGGTCCATTTTATTTCAGTTAATAATGAGTCACTGATTTTATATTTTAGTTGCAGTTTTTTGGTTTATTTTGAGCAGCTTTATGCGCTGCTTAAATCATGGAGTTTTGACCAAGAAAAATGTTCTTAAATAATATGATGAATAATTAAATAAATACTTTTTTTTGGTTTGGTTCTTAGATAAACATCATTAATAGATCATTCCATTATGGAAGTTATTTACTTTGAATTGTGTTTGGCAACACAATTTTAATCATGGTAGTAGTGCTCATTAAAAAAAATTTTTTTTATGTTTATTTGATTTTGAGAGAGAGCGAGACAGAGCACAAGCAGGGGAGGGGCAGAGGAGAGGGAGACACAGAATCTGAAGCAGGCTGCAGGCTCCCAGCTGTTAGCACAGAGCCCGGTGCAGGTCTGAAACCTAGGAACTGTGAGATCATGACTTGAGCTGAAGTCTGATGCTTAACTGACTGAGCCACCCAGGCACCCCATGATGTATTCGTTTAAAGTATATGTCACAGTGTCTCTGTTCAGAAATTTCCTTATTATAGTGTAACCTATGTGAGTGATGTGACACTGATGACTGTGATATGTGATTTTTTAAGCCTGTCAATTCAAAGATGAAATTTAAGCATAGCATACATATAATTGTTAAAATTTCAAGTTGATACAAATTCATGTGGTAAAAAAGTTGATTGCACTCTATAATGTTACTTTCTACGTAGAATTTTAGGTAGGGTTTTAATTTTTTTTTTAATTCACTTATTTTAACTTGGTGTATTTAATAAGTTGTCTCATTTATTCATGTTAATAGTGAAAATTATTAATACCAACAGGCAGCTCACCTAATGGATTTTCTGAGAAATTCTACCTAATTGTAATAGAGTGCACCCAAGACAACCAATCATTGTTACACATGTGGAATTTACATTTAAAGTCTATTCCTGTCTCATTAGGTGAGTCTTTTTAATTTTTTTTTTAACTTTAGGCTTAAATTAACAAATTATATGTGGTTAGATCGTTCACTGCATGTTTTTTAAAGGTATTCTTATTGAGTGAAGGTAACTGTAGTTTATTCAATTAATTTAAAAAGCAAACTGATTCTCTCATTTTCTTATTGTAAAAAATCATATTAGTATGTTTTAAAATCTTTTATAAGGCTTTTGGATTATAAAATGTAGTAATTTTAATACTTACAGGGATTCCCCCTTTTCCCCTGGTTTTTGGTTCTTTTCTTATGTTTTATAGATGAAAAAGTAGATACAAAAATAACTGAAGCAGTTTGGCAACCAGAAGAACATTATTCATCTTCTCCAGAGAAGATCCTGTCTCCTTTTTCACAGAAGTATCAGGCTTGCAGAGCAAATCTCCAGAGTACCAGCAAGTTAACTCTGTCTTCAGAAATGGTTTATAGCCAAGAATTGAATTTGCCAGAAGGAGTTGAGATAATAAGTGTTAAGCCATCAGCAGGTTTGTAAAGTTTGTAAAAAGAGACTACTCAAACTTTGGAATCTATGAATATTCAGTAAGGTATTTAAAAAGAGAGGGGCGTCTGGGTGGCGCAGTCAGTTAAGCGTCCGACTTCAGCCAGGTCACGATCTCGCGGTCCGGGAGTTCGAGCCCCGCGTCAGGCTCTGGGCTGATGGCTCAGAGCCTGGAGCCTGTTTCCGATTCTGTGTCTCCCTCTCTCTCTGCCCCACCCCCCGTTCATGCTCTGTCTCTCTCTGTCCCAAAAATAAATAAACGTTTAAAAATATATATATATATATATAAAAAGAGGCATAGCTACCTGTTCTTAAATGTACATGGAAGCAGAAATGGAAACACTCTCTTTACCTTAAACTGAAAACTTACGTTCTCATTATGTTTTCAGATGTCTGACATTTGTCAGCGAGTTGTAGCATTAAGTAGTGATTTCCAAAACAAATTTTCATGACGTCTTTATGAAGAAAAACTGAGCGTTTCCAGGGCAGAGATAGTAACAAGTTTGTGCCTTATTTGCCAACTTTGATAATGTTGGTCATGGCTGCCTGGAGCTGTGTCCTCTGAGGGATTTTGAATGGGTCGTTCCTCGTAATATTTATCATCTTTAATCTAGAGCAGTGGTTCTCAAAATGTGATCTCCAGACCAGCAGCATCAGCATTATCTGGGAACTTGTTAGAAATAAAAATTCTTGGTCTACACCCTCCCAGGTGTACTGAATCACAAATGCTGGTGCACGTCACAGGCTGTTTCAACAAGGGTCCCCAGGTGATTCTAATTCATACAATAGATGAAGAACCACAATTCTAGGGTATCAGGAAAACCAAGACAAAATCACCTTTTATTACCCACTTCTTTGAGTTTCATAGTCACAGTGTGCATTTGGTCTTTTCTACTTCTCTGTCATTTTTTGAACTGATGACTTGGAATGCTTTGCAGTTTGCCATGTCATTATCAAGTACTTTTCTAATTGGTGAAGTTAGGAGCTGGGGTATTAACATTGTTTTAATAACTTTTAATTTTGTTTCTTCATATATTTTACTGAAAGAAGCATTAATGCAAAGAAAAAGTTTGAAAAAGAATGATGTTTGTATAGACACAATTTTAAGAACTGTTCCCTTAGCCAGAATAGTTGGATCTTCACTGCTGAACTCCAATTAAAATAATATGAGAAATCTAAGAGAAATATTTCTAAAAACAGCCCTCTTATTTAACTTTGGCTCAAGTTGAGTTTGGCAGAAGAGTAGGAGTTCTAGCGAAAAAGGAGAAATTCGTTTTGTTTGGCAAAAAATAGCATGGAGAAAAAGCATTTTTCCTAGTCTTAATTTTTTTTTTTTTTTTTAATATCAAGACTATTAAGAAGGTCAGCCACTCTCTACTCAGCTCAGAGATACCAACGGACAATGCTAATTGTGTCCTTTCACAACACTGCTATCCTCCTTGAGGACTTAAAAAAAACTTTATTAAAATTATGTTGAAATACTTTTAAGATATGATAGATATCCTATATAGCATTTCTATGTTGTAATTAGTTCATGGGTTAGCAAACTACGGGCTACCTACCTGTTTTGTAAATAAGTTTGATTGAACATAGCCACTCGTATTTGTCTCCTTTTTGTGTATACCTGCTTTTGCTCTAGACTCCTAGAGTGGAATAGATGCATCAGAGACCCTGTGGCTAGGAACCTAAAATAGTCACTACCATCTTGAAGAAAAAGAAGTTTGCCAGTGGTTTAGGAAATTAAAAGTGTGTCATTACATTAAGGATGGCAAATGTTTTGTCCCACTTAAGAATCTTCTCAGCATCAGTAATGTCACATAGACATCAGTTACGGAGGGCTCACCTGGTACTTCAGTAAACATGGGCTGCTTACAAAATTGTATTGAAAAAGATGAAAGAGAAGGAGCCAGGAAATGTTGACACAGTTTTAAAAATATATTGGTATGTTTAAAATGAGATGCATATTAATATATAAAATGAGCAGAGAGACTACTGGCTTGAGAACCAGCATTAGAATTCAGGTTTTCTAACTCTGCGTCATTCTAGCTTGTGTTTGATTTAGTGTAAGATACATCACATATTTGGTCAAAGGTCCTTACCTATTAAATGTAGGAATTGAAGCAGACCACCTCAGAGTTCTCTTCCAATTCTCGGTTTTGGTAATATTGCCCTTTATGTATACCTTTTTTGACATCTTTAAAAGCATTTTACTGATCTTGTTGACTCTTAAACTGAGTATAGGCCGTCACGTTGTTAACAGGAGTTTGTACAAAGACTAAAACCTTTAGTACATGAAAACAGAAATACTTATCCAATTTGACATTTTGTTAATAGATCATTTTTGTTTTAGGACATCTGAGTTCTTCTTCCATATATCCTGTGTGCAGTGCTCCTTATTTATTGGCAACTTCGTGCTCGGATGAGAAAGTAAGATTCTGGAGATGCAGAGTAACAGATGGAGAATCTGCCACATTGAAGAATGGAAAAATGGATCTTGTATACATTTGGGAAGAATGGCCGTTACTTATTGAGGATGGACTTCATAGCAATAGTAGTATAACCGTCCCTGGTAGGCCTGTAGAAGTTAGCTGTGCACATACAAATCGGTTAGCAGTAGCCTATAAGCAGCCTGCATCTAATAGTAGGTCTTCTCAGGACTTTTTGATGCATGTAAGCATTTTTGAATGTGAGTCTACAGGAGGTTCCTGTTGGGTCCTTGAACAGACAATTCATTTAGACGAATTAAATACAGTGTTAGATTCTGGCATTAGTATTGATAGCAACTTAGTGGCTTACAATAAGCAAGAGGTGTATTTCTCCAGTAAAGAGAGTATCACATCCAACACAAAGCATTTAGTTCACTTAGATTGGATGTCCAGAGAGGATGGTTCTCATATCCTCACTGTAGGAATTGGATCAAAACTTTTTATGTATGGACCCCTGGCTGGCAAGGTACAAGAACAGGCTGGTAAGGAAAGCCTCGCATTTCCTCTCTGGGAAAGCACTAAAGCTGTGCCTCTTTCTAAATTTGTGCTATTAAGAAGTATGGATTTGGTTTCTTCAGTAGAAGGCTCTCCACCTTTTCCTGTTTCTTTGTCATGGGTCCGGGATGGCATCCTGGTGGTAGGCATGGACTGTGAAATGCATGTATATTCCCAGTGGCAGCCATCTTCTAAACAAGAACCCGTTGTCACAGAGTCCTACAATGGGAGCACTCCATCTATAATAAGTTTAATAAAACAGAGTAACTCATCAAGTTCTGGATTACATCCTCCAAAGAAAACTCTGACTCGATCCATGACCAGTCTTGCACAGAAAATCTGTGGAAAGAGAACTGCCTTTGATCCTTCTGTGGACACAGAAGATTCAGGTCTTTTTGAAGCAGCTCATGTTCTTTCCCCAACTTTACCTCAGTACCATCCTTTGCAGCTTTTAGAACTCATGGACCTTGGCAAAGTTCGGAGAGCGAAGGCCATCTTGTCGCACCTTGTCAAGTGCATTGCTGGAGAGGTTGTGGCTCTGAATGAAGCCGAATCCAACCACGAGCGCCGCCTTAGATCTCTCACCATCAGTGCTAGTGGAAGCACTACCAGAGATCCCCAGGCTTTCAACAAAAGTGAAAATACAGATTATACAGAAATAGATTCTGTCCCTCCGCTTCCTTTATATGCCTTACTTGCAGCAGATGACGATAGCTGTTATGCGTCTTTAGAGAAATCTAGTAATCAAAGTACTTTAAACAACTCAAACCAGTTGTCAAAAGAAAGTTATGATGAGCTTTTTCAGATCCCAACTTTAATGACTGATAATCACGTGGTAGAGACAGATGAAGAAAACACAAAGCCCAGGGTTATCGACCTTTCACAATACAGTCCAACTTACTTTGGTCCTGAGCACGCTCAGGTTCTCTCTGGCCACTTACTTCATTCTAGTTTACCAGGACTCAGCCGGATGGAGCAGATGTCTTTGATGGCCTTAGCAGACACAATCGCAACTACCAGCACTGATATCGGAGAAAGCAGAGACAGAAGCCAAGGTAAAACTAAACTAGATATGGGAGTGGCAGAACAGCTGGTCACTGTTCTACTTACTTATGCAGAAAATAATCTTAAGTAATTTTTATAAAAATTATGCCCATGACGGTTTTTAAAATCATTATTACTATACCTTCATGATAGTTTTAACTTTAATAGATACTATTTTTCCGTAAATCATAGTACTTTGAGAGAGTATGCAGAGAGTCACTATGCCAGTCGTTTTTACCTGATGTCTGCTTAATAATGTTAAAGATCCAATCGAATCCTTTTGAGTTTGGCAAAAGTTAACCTTCTTATTAAATAATCACTTTAGGGGCACCTGGGTGGCTCAGTCGGTTAAGTGGCCGACTTCAGCTCAGGTCTCGATCTCACGGTCCGTGAGTTCGAGCCCCGCGTTGGGCTCTGGGCTGATGGCTCGGAGCCTGGAGCCTGCTTCCGATTCTGTGTCTCCCTCTCTCTCTGCCCCTCCCCCATTCATGCTCTGTCTCTCTTTGCCTCAAAAATAAATAAATAATCACTTTAAATACCTGAAAGTAAAAGGTGCTTTCTGCTTTTTCTCCTGTTGTAATCACTGTTAATTTTTTTTTTTTTTTAAGTTTAAAAGAGAGTTTGCATGCATGTAGAGAGGTTGAGGGGCAGAGAGAGAGGGAGAGAGTCCCAAGCATGCTCCATGCTATCATTGTGGAGCCTGACGCGGGGCTCAATCCCACAGACCTTGAGATCCTGACCTGGGCAGAAACCCATAAATTGGATACTTAAACGAGTGAGCCAGCCAGGTGCCTCTGTTAATGGGTTTTTAAAATATTGAGGTTCTTTAAAATTAGCAGTAATGTATACTCTTGCTTAGCATGACAAAAATAAGTGTAATAAAATTAGGTCTTTTCCTCACCCAGAGAGCATTTTTTTCATCTTAATCTGAGTTATTAAAAAAAAAAAAAAAAAATTGGAAGGTAGAATTCACATCAGATCTCAGTAAGATTTGAAATTAACAAGTCTGGCCTTGTGCATAGGTCAGTAGGATGCACCCCTTGAACTGTGTTTGAAAGGAAAATATGTAACTATTTTTTCCTGTGTTAATAGTTGATTATTGGGATGGGTCTATGGCTTGAATCAACATGGAATTGCAGAGTGAAGGTTAAACTATTTTAAAATTTAGTTACATTTTAATTTAAACAAGATCAGATGGGAGGAGGTTGAGTTATGAAAAATATCGCTAACCCCGAGTCAATTCATTCTCTTTAATATTTTTCAAAATAAATATTTAACTATACTACTTTGGTCTGTGATGTTTGTTTGTGTAGACAAAGGAAATATTAGATAATAATTAGACCGGTAACTTTTGTTGGTTTCAGAATGTTTTGTTCCTGTATTTGGTGCTGTGACATATGCCACATGCCAGAATTATTAACATTTACTTGGAGTTTGCTCATGAAATGGTTTTCTTATAAATACAAAAAAGTAAATACTTTGTTATTGTTTTTGTTGTTCATAGGTGGAGAAACTCTCGATGAATGTGGGTTAAAATTTCTTTTAGCTGTTCGACTTCATACGTTCCTTACAACTTCCCTTCCAGCTTACCGAGCTCAGCTCCTTCACCAAGGTGATTTTGGTAGTAATCTATTAAAAGGAAAGAGAGTAAAAGTAGAGAGGCTTGAGAACATTTTGCCCAGATATGACAATGACAAATTTGACACATTTTAAGTGTCCTTAACTTACTTGTAAAAATATTTATTTCCATTTAATTTTCTTAATTTCTTTATTAATTTCTTTTCTTTATTTCTTAAAATACTGGAATTTTTTTGGTAGATGGAAAGACTTAATGAAGAAATGGGTATTGGGCAGTTAGATAATCTGTGTTACATTTTCAAATGGGTCATACATTTAAGACCAATTAATACTGTTTTATTCTCTTCAACTTGTTTAGATTTTTTTCTTTGCTCTATTTAACATTTATCAAAGTTGAGTTTTCTACCCAAAATTTGAGTGACATTTTTGTTCCAGAAATAATAGTTTTTAATTGTCTTACGTAAAGAGTATAGAACATAGAAAGGGAAAATTCACTCACCCCAAAACTACTGTGTATTTCAGATGTTAGTTTATTAACCTTTCAGATACTCTCATATACCTTAGGCCTTAAATTAACAGAAATATTTGACTTAAGTTTAAGGTAACTTAAAACAGGGTATTTCTTGGCTTACTGCCCTGGAAGTTCAGAGGTGCAGCTGGGTTCCAGCATTATTGGAGCTACAGGGTTAAACAGTGTTATTGGGACAGAGGTTAGCCTCTTCTTATTGATGTCTGTCTGTCTCTTGCTTTCTCTTTTCCTTTCTTTCTGTCTTTCTGCTCCCTCCTTCCCTTCATTTTGTATTTAGCTTTGGAAAAGTACTAAAATTCTAAGTCTAATCGTTTAATTATTTGTGAAATATTATTGAACTTAGTTGAGAGATAATAGACATCTAAAAACAGTTCAGAATAGCAGTCCATTTACTGCATAGGTGTTTTTCTTTTTTTTAATTTCTATATTTCTTTCCAAGGAAAGAAAGTATAGTGGGCATTTCAGATTCCTTGGCATTTGCTATCAGATTAAAATTTTGAGTCCATATATGTTCAAAGCCACATCTTATAATTAAGCATGTACTTCACCCAGAAATACCAAAGAAAATGAACTCTGTGAAGAGACCAAATGGAAGCTGAACAGTAAGCCCCAAATGTAGGGGCCAGTAGGTTAAGAGAATTGCTGATGTAAATGATACTGTGTACATAAAAAAGTGTCTGACTAATGTGGTGATAAGGGGTAATAATAGTTATTATTCTAAATGCCTTAACTCTGGTATTTTAAATGCTTTAAGATTCTATTCTAAATGCTTAAACTCTGGTATTTTAATCCTCACAACAATGTAATAAGGTAGTGCTGTGATTATTCACATTTTATGAATGAGGCAGTTGAACAATCAGGAGTCGAAGTAATTTGTCCACAGTTACATAGTTAGGGATGGATCTGGGTTTATTGTATCATCTGATTCCAGAGTCTACCCTGTTAAGTTCTTTTCAGGGAGGTGTCCTATCTACTTGATGCTGTTTTAATTCCATGGTATTCAATCCACAAAACAAACATTGACCAAAGGAAAGTGAGAATCAGCTGTGAATAACAGTCATTCCAGCATAGAACAGTACGTTAAGTGTTTCTCATTTTCTAAGGAAAGATCATGGGTAATAGCTAGAGAGCAAAAATAATCAGAAAAGTAGCATTTTCCATAAAACATTTTTTCTTACCTTTTTTTAAAAATAGGTGTTTTAATCATAGAAAATATGTGCTTATTATAAAAAATAGTGAAGTGATAGAGTTGTTAGGAGAAACAACGAAAGAAAAAACCTATTTCCTCCAACCCTAAACTCTTAATTGTGCTTCTGTGAGTCCCATAAAGAGTTGAGACTTGCTTATGACAAATATGGCACACGCATTTCTGATCAGCATTATATAAACATGTTTGTATTTCCCATGAACATTATTTTTTGACATTTATTCAGGCCTGTCTACTAGTCATTTTGCCTGGGCTTTTCACTCGGTAGCAGAGGAGGAACTGCTGAGCATGCTGCCGGCCATGCAGAAAGATGATCCCACCTGGTCGGAACTGAGAGCCATGGGCGTGGGGTGGTGGGTCCGGAACACCCGCACCTTACGCAAGTGCATAGAAAAGGTAAGTTGTATTTTATTGTGGTAGAAAAATGAAGTAATTAATGTATTTTAGGTATTGCTTTAAAGAACATTCCTTACTCCCTTTCTTGTTTCTATTTTTTAAGTGAATCAGTAAAATGCCTTGAAATAGCCATGATATTTCAAAATATCTCATTAATACAGGATTTTAATGTTTATATTCTAATTCTTCCATTGTAGTTGATACATTTACTTAGTATGTGTCTGATTTTTACAAAATGATGTATATACATCTTGGAAAAGTAAAATAGTACTGAGGAGCTTGTACTGAAGAGCATCGTCCATGTGTTCCCACCTCTCTGTGTCTTTGGAGGCCACCACCCTGAATTACTTTTGAAATTATAAAAAATGCACGCGTTCAAGTGTAAAATATGTGTATATGTGTGCGTATGTATACATAAACATCCATGCATTTGTGCACATATTTTCTTAATTCATTGGTCATTGAAATAATGTGTGTCGGTGTGGTATGTGAGAGAAGTTATTTTGTTTGTTTAAAAATTGTTTCCGTGAAATTTTGACCAACATTTTCTAATTATAGGTAGCTAAAGCAGCCTTTTATAGAAAGAATGATCCTTTAGATGCTGCCATTTTTTACCTTGCAATGAGAAAGAAAGCTGTGATTTGGGGCTTATATAGGTAGGTAAGAAAACTGCTTCAAAATGGAAAACTTTTCGTAAGGAACAAGTGTATGAAATAAAGTCAAGATTTGTTGTTCTTGTTAATTGTGATTCATGTACATTCTTAGTTATTTTTGTGTTTAGGGAGAGATTCATAGGAAAGAAGCCCAAGTGTTTTCCAGAATAGAAAAATCTTGATGACATCACTTTAGGTTTTAGGTTTATCAGTCCAGGAAGCCATTTTCTTATTTATTGTAAGAATTTCTCATGGCACTTCTTTGGAACAAAGAACTAAACCAAAGACTTGTCTCTGTAGTGGGGAAGAAGACGAATTGGTGGAATCTGGAACAGGCATCTACCCTCTGCCCTATTACAGATTCATGGACCAGGCTATCCCTCCAAACTACCCTCCTCCTGTGGGCCCCGACCCCACTCTTGAGCAAGGATCACTTGGAATTTTCTCTTTTACTTATTCTCAGCAAGACTTGATAAACATGATTAGTAAAAATAGTTCATCATTTATTTCACACTCTGTTCCAGGTGAATCTATATGAATACAACTTTGAGGGGAAGATCATGGGCACCAGTCAGTTTTCTCAGAGACTAGATCTTTTAGGATTGTTTTGAATCAGGATAAATAAATTCCTTAGGTTTTGATCACCAGTAATCCTCCAGTGGGCAGGCAGATGTATAGTAATCCATACATGGGCAAGTGTTTCTTTTGAGTCTTAACTTGTAAATGGCTGACTTTATAAAATTGGTTCTGACTGTGGAAACATCGTGCTTCAAAATTTTCATACATTTTTTTTCTTTATAGATCCCAAAAAGACACCAAGATGACACAGTTTTTTGGACACAATTTTGAGGATGAGAGATGGCGTAAAGCAGCTTTAAAGAATGCCTTTTCTTTGTTAGGCAAACAAAGATTTGAACATTCTGCAGCATTTTTTCTTTTAGCTGGTTGCCTCAGAGATGCAATTGAGGTAATGATGAAACTTTTTTAATAAAAGCATTGTTGGGGTGCCTGGATGGCTCAGTTGGTTGGGTGTCTGACTTTGGCTTGGGTCATGATTTCGCAGTTTGTGTGTTGGGACGTGATTTCGCACGTCGGGCTCTGTGCTGACAGCTCAGAGCCTGGAGCCTGCTTCAGATTCTGTGTCTCCCTCTCTCTCTGCCCCTCCCCTGCTTGCGCTCTGTCTCTCTCTCTCTCTGTCCCAAAAGTAAATAAACATGAAAAGAAGCATTGTCAGCCTTTTAAGCTTTTTATGTAGGCTTAAATTTTTATTTTTTAATTTAATTTAAGAATAGCAGAAATTGCATAAGGCTAATAAATACATAGTAATATTTAATAGTGACTTTTAAAAATCCTTTCATCTAGGGGTGCCTGGGTGGCTCAGTTGGTTAAGTGTCTGACTTCGGCTCAGGTCACAATCTCACAGTTCAAGCCCCACCTCAGGCTCTGTGCTGACAGCTCAGAGCCTGGAGCCTGTTTCCAGTTCTGTGTCTCCCTTCTTTCTCTGCCCCTCCCCTGCTCACACTCTGTCTCCCTCTCTCTCAAGAATAAATATTTTTAAAAATTTCAGATACTAACAGTGCCTTTTTTTTCATCTAGTTATTAGTGAGTCGGTCGAGTTTATCTTAAAATGAAAGATGCTTCTGCTTATTGATAACCAGTATTTCTCTTTTTGAAGGTATGTCTTGAGAAACTGAATGACATTCAGTTGGCTCTTGTAATAGCAAGACTCTACGAGTCTGAATTTGATACATCTGCAACATATAAATCTATTTTACGTAAAAAAGTTTTGGGAGTTGATTCTCCTGTCAGTGAACTCAATTCATTGAACATAAGTATGCATTATGATCCTTTTCTTCGGAGTATGGCATATTGGATTTTGGAAGATTATAGTGGTGCTCTGGAAACATTAATAAAGCAACCAGTCAGAGAGGATGATGGTAAGCTACATTTCTAAGATGTTAATAATACAGATAATAATACAGTTGTTTTAGTGTTTGCTGGGTGCAGAACACACTGTTGGGTGCTAAGGGTAATACAAAGCAAGTTGAAAACATGGTCTAAGACTTTTAAGATTTAGTTGGGGACACAGAGTTATGTACATACAGTTTTTTGGGGTTTTTTTTTAAGAAAATCCTTTTTTTCAGAAAAATCCTTTGAAAACCAAGAACTTTGGATTTTCTGTTTTTATAAAATCAGTGTATTCGACATAAATATTATCAATATTTGAATATAAATTTTGAGGAAAGTAGTGATAGAAAATCCATTTTTCTCAGGTGCAAGTTTGTGTGTTTGTTAATTAGTTTTATAATTTTTATAATAAAAATACTTTCTTTAAAGAAAGTTGACAAGTGATAGGATTAGTTTTTTATGAGATGAGTGAGGTAGAGAATTTTTTATAATTTACCTTTTTTTAAGATCTCCTTTTGTTTTAGAAATCCCTTTTGCTTCTTTTCTAGAGGTTAGTATAAAATGGAATCTTTGTATGAAATCATATAAAAATGATGGGATATGCTTTTCAAATATTTTTCCATAGGTAGAATTGAATTATTTGTAATAGCTGGTATCCTTGGTGTCAGTCATATCACTTGAAGTACTAATTGGAAAAGATTTTAGTTGATAGGTTTTTACATAGCATCATTTAATGAGGAATATCATGAGTCTTACTGTGAGAGAATTGTGAGAAAGCCATGTTCAGTTGTTGAAATGTCCTGGCCATCTGAGCTAAAGATTTCCAAACTGACTTGTCTGTAATGAAGGGGGAAAAGAAAAGGCCTTTGCCGGTCACTGTTTTATACCTACACATATTCATGTCAAAAGTGTATTTTGATTTGGGATTAATACATGATCACATACTTTTAGAGTCAAATTCTCTATTCTAGAAGAAAATTTTAAAAGGTAAGAGTGGCTTGGACTGGAATAATAGGAGCGGAGGCTCAGAAAAATGGTGGGATTTGGAATATAATTTTCAGGTAAACTAGGTAGGATTGGATGTGAAGGGAGTAAGAGTCAAGGATAACTCCTGGATTTTTAGCTTGAGGTAAATGGTATGAGGAAAACCAGGAGCAGGTTTGGGGGAGTGTTGTTTTAGATAGAGAAGCCCTCTCTGATAAGCTGACCTTTGAACAGAGACCTGAGTGAGTTATCTAGTAGCTATCTGGATAAAGAGTGGTTTAGGCTAAGAGCACACTAGATAAAGAGACCTTGAGGAAAGAGTATGTGCATGTAAATGGAAATGTAATGTAGGCCTTTGGATATAGCAGTCTAGATGTACAGGATGAAGTTGGGCTTGAAATAGATGTGCAAGTTACCAATGTCTAGATGGTATTTGAAGCCTTGGCACTGTATGAGTTCACTCAGCGAGTGTAGACAGAAAAGAAGCCAAGCACTGAACTGTAGGATACTCTTAACATCCTCAAGTAGAGAAGATGAGGAAGATTTAGCACAGCAGACTGGGAAGGGATGTTGAGGGAAGTAGGAGAATAAGAACTATGGGTGTGTAAGTGGATGTTCAAATAATCTTAAATTATTACCTGAAGAGGCGGAAATCAGTATAACCTCCGTTCTCCTTTTATGTTAAAACACTTTCATGACAAACGTGTTCTTGTCTGTTCATTGCCATGTGTGAGTGTGATCTCTTAGTAAAATTCTGTTCAAAAGACCAGGTGGGTAAAGGTGCCATAGAGAAAAAGACTGCAGTACAACTCTTGAATTTTTCTTAGCTGATAAACTTAATTTACTTTCAGATCAAGTCATGATGTCAGCCTGTAATCCTGCAGTTTTTAATTTCTACAATTATCTAAGAACGCATCCTCTGTTGCTGAGACGTCATTTTGGATCATCTGATGTATTGTCTACACACATGAGTTTAACGGGAAAAAGTGGACTGGCAGGAACAATCAATTTAACTGAAAGAAGATTATTTTTTACTACTGCCAGTGCTCATTTAAAAGCTGGCTGTCCTATGTTAGCTTTGGAAGTATTATCAAAGATGCCAAAAGTCATCAAGAAAACAAAACCTTTTTGTAGAACATCGAGTTTTCTGGATACTAGTAAAGACTATTCTCCTTCTTCTCCAGTGAACTTGGATGCAAGGGAAGATAAGTCTTCTGCTGTTGATTGGTCACAGTCAGTGATGAATGGTTTTGGATCTTCTTCAGAGGGTTCCTCAGAGAAGCAGTCAAACTCCACTCTTTCTTTTGACTGGAGCCAACCAAGCATTGTATTTCAGGATGACTCTTTAGAATTAAAATGGGACAGTGATAACGATGAAGAAAATGACGATCTCCCTATCTCAATGAAAGAACTGAAACCTTTACAGAGAAAAACGGTGAAAAAAGTAGATGAAACAAGTTCTAGTTATACAGACACTCTCAGCACACTAGATGAAAATGATATTTTGAGTCCATCAGAAGACATAATTGCAGTTCAGTTAAAATTTAGAGCATGTTTAAAGATTCTCACCGTAGAACTTCGTACTTTATCTACTGGCTATGAAATAGATGGTGGAAAATTGCGTTACCAACTCTACCACTGGCTTGAAAGAGAGGTAATAGCTCTTCAGAGGACCTGTGACTATTGTTCAGATGGAGAAGAATTACAGTCTGCCCTGGACGAAAATGGAGATGGATTTGGATTAAATGAAGATTCTGAAGATTTGCTTCAGCAAACAAAAGTGAAACAACTGAGAGAAAATTTTCAGGAAAAAAGACAGTGGCTTTTGAAATATCAGTCACTATTGAGGATGTTTCTGAGTTACTGCATACTTCATGGGTCCCACGGAGGGGGTCTTGCATCTGTGAGAATGGAGTTGATTTTGCTTTTACAAGAATCTCAGCAGGTATGTAAGTTACACAGTGGCCAGTTGAAATAGTACACACATGAGAAATGGTTTTTGATACTGCTCTTTTGGTTTTTGATTTTAAAGTTGTTGATTTTCTTCATTATGGTTGCTTTAAGGAATACCGTTTTGTGTTAGGAGTTTGTAGCGTAGTGTGTGTATAATGGTTTCAGGATCATTCTCCGTCAAGCCCTGTGATCTGCTACATTCATACTCTGCATTCTTACGTGAGTGCCTTGTGAGGTGATGAACTTCTCCTTAGGATAAAAGGGTATTGTCCCCTCATTTTCCTCTATAATTGGTGGAATGTTGACCTCCTCAGGTCCTAATTCTGTAATCTGTTATGCTTTTAATTTTGAATTATTTTGAAGTTTTTCCAAGAGACTTCTGAAATAGTAAAGTAGTGAATTACCACTTTAAATAGTTGATTAACCTTTTTTTTCCCATTGTTTTTAAGGAAACATCAGAACCCATATTTCCTAGCCCTCTGTCAGAGCAAACCTCGGTACCCCTCCTCTTTGCTTGTACTGCCAGTGCCAAAACAGTAGTTGCCAATCCATTACTGCACCTTAGTAACCTTACACATGATATTCTGCATGCCATAATAAACTTTGATTCACCACCCCATCCTGACATCCAGAGCAATAAGGTAAGTATGCTTGGTTCATTCTTTTAACTTACCTGTATATTATGATAAAACCGAAAGCTAAGTGTTAAGAAACACTTATTAGAAGCAATTTTAAACATCAGACTATACATAGGGATTGTCACATTACTGAGTTTATATTTTTTGACCAAAGAGAACTTAGGGTTGTAGGCCAGGCTGACCTCACTTGTATTCTCATACCCAATAGGGTACTTCAATTTTAAATTTAGTTATTTAGTGTTAATTTAGCCACTTTAGGGGCGCCTGGGTGGCGCAGTCGGTTAAGCGTCCGACTTCAGCCAGGTCACGATCTCGCGGTCCGTGAGTTCGAGCCCCGCGTCGGGCTCTGGGCTGATGGCTCAGAGCCTGGAGCCTGTTTCCGATTCTGTGTCTCCCTCTCTCTCTGCCCCTCCCCCGTTCATGCTCTGTCTCTCTCTGTCCCAAAAATAAATAAACGTTGAAAAAAAAAAATTTAAAAAAAAAAAAATTTAGCCACTTTATTAAGATAAGAGTAATAGGTGTGTATGCAGATACATGAGTAATTGTTTAGCATTACAATTAGGGGAGAAGCTGATTTTTAGAAATAGGAACTAAGTATTATGGTATAAAATTAAAGTTTTCCTTTATTAATATTAAAACATGTATTTTAAGGATATGTGATTCTTAAATTGACTCCAAACTTACTGAATCAGTACACATGGTTATCTAGTCAAGCACATCATCTTTTCATCATCACCACTGTACTTTATGTACAGTTAATATCACATTCCATGTTTCATCCTTACTCTCCAAGCATACTGAAATCCTTTAAAGTATGACCAAGTTTGGACTCCTTTTCTCTTTTTCTCTTAATAGTCTGTCGTCTGGTTCTCGCCCACCTCTCAGGCTGCGATATCATACCAGTTCAATATTCTGCTTGCCTGAATATTGCCTACAGCCTTACCCTCTTTGATAACCTTAACCCTTGTAATTTAATTTTGCCGCTTTTCCTGTCCTCCTCTAGTATAAATGCCCACATGGTATATGATACAGTAAGGAATTTAATTTTGTTGAGATTTTGCTCATTTTAGCTAAACTGTATCACATACTTAATTTTAATAATGAGCCTACACTTGGTATATCAGTTAGCTTTTGCTGCTTAAGAGCCACCCTGAAACATTAGTAACTTCAAATGGCCATCATTTATTTTGCTCATGATTCATTGGGTTGGCTCCTCAGTTCTAACTTGGGCCAGCTGGACTGACTGATGTCTGGATATTTTCATTTGTCTTCCATCAGCTGGTACGTTGGCTGGATTCTGGATTAGGATGGCCTTATTTGCATTTTGGGTGGTTGGCACACTATTTCCAGGGATGACAGGAGAATCTGGATCATACGGGTCTCATCCACTATGAACCAAGCCTAATGTATTGGTCTAGGTTCTCTAGAAAAACAGAACAAATAGGACTTGTGTATGTATATGTACAGAGCAGTTGCCTTACATAACTATGGGAGCTGAGAGGTCCTAAGATTGGCTGTCATCAAGGTGGAGGAGACCCAGGACCTATTGTGTAGTTCAAGTCTGGGTCCAGAGACCTGACAACCAGAAAAGCCAGTAGTAGTATAAGGTACAGTGTGAGAGCCAGTAGGCGTGAGACCCAAGAGGAGCAAGTGTTTAAAGGCAGGACAACACCAGTGTTCCAGCTCAGTACAGCCAGGCAGAAGTTCCCTTATATTCAGCTTTATTCTGTTTAGGTCTTCACCTGATTGAGTGAGGCCCGCCCACATTAGGGAGGGCAGTCTGCTTTACTGAGTCTGCCGCTTCTACCTGTGTTAATTTCATTCCACATCACGCTTACAGACATAACCCAGAATGTCTCCCCAAATGTCTGGGCACCCCATGGTCCAGTTAAGTTAATGCATAAAATTAACCATCCCACCTAGATTATTTTACATAGTGGTTGCAGGGTTTAAAGAGCAGCAATAGGAGAATTTGCAAGGCCTTTTGAGGACTAGGTTCAGAACTCATATAATGCTTTGCCTTCTTGGTCAAAGCAAGTCACAAGGCCAGCCCAGGTTCAGTAAGTAGAGAAATAGACTCCACTTTTTGATTGGAGAAACTTAAAAATATTTTGATCATTTTTGCAATTTCCCATATGTGGGTTTTGTTGTCTTCTTTTAATATGATGATATCCTTGATTTTTGGTTTTAATCTGTGACTCTCCCATTTTTGTCTGCATCCAAGACTGTCCTACTTCATAATTAGATCAAGAACCTGGTCTCTTTTTTTAAATTTAAATCCAAGTTAGTTGATGTATAGTGTAATAATGGTTTCATGAGTCGAATTTAGTGACTGATCACTTACATACAATACCCACTGCTCATCACAAATGCCCTCCTTAATGTCCATCACGCATCTAGTGCATCCCCACTCTCCTCCATTCCAGCAACCCTCCATTTGAAGAACTTAGTCTTGTAATAGTCTCATCTAGTTTGCTTTCTGACCTGGATTATGCTTGTCAGATCTACTTCTTTTACTGCTTGTCATGCCATGTTTAGAGCCTTCTCTTCCTCAGTACAAATGTTTGCCCTTCAGTTGCTGTCTTTCATACCTTCTTCTTTCCCTAAATAATTTCCCTCTCTTCAGGTTCCTTGCTTTCTCTAGTAGCTAGAATATGTGGTAGCATATTCTTCAGTGACCTATCCATAGGTAAACTGTTATTTACCAGACTGAGCTTCTACATATTTTGTTTGAAGAAGGTTGAGTCTTGAAAGGCTTTCTTTTTCTTTTTTTATTTATTTTATTTTTTTTTATGTTTGTTTATTTTTCAGAGAGAGAGAGCATGAGTAGGGGAGGGGCAGAGAGAGAGGGAGACACAGAATCTGAAGCAGGCTCCAGGCTCTGAGCTGCCAGCACACAGCACGACATGGGGCTTTGAACTCTTGAACTGAGAGATCATGACCTGAGCCAAAGTTGGATGCTCAACCAACTGAGCCACCCTGGTGCCCCAAAGGGTTTTCTTTTAACACATGGCTGATGCACTACTGAATAGCTAATGTCTTTTCCCATTTGCTCTTAAAATAGAAATTAGGTAGCCTGTGTGTGTTTTATGTTATCTGCCCACAGCCTTAGTGTTTTTAATTTGTCTGTAGTGAGACCTGTATAGGCATAAATGAATGTTAAGGAAAAAAAGGAAGTAGTTCATAAGGACAGATAGTTTTTTCCACTTTTTTATAATGCTTATTATAGTTGGTCTTGAAACAAGTTTGATTTTTTAAAAGTTATACTTAAAGTAATTTTGTGGTTTTTTTCCAGGTATATGTAATGCATACTTTAGCAGCCTCACTTTCTGCTTGTATTTATCAGTGCCTTTGTGGTAGTCATAACTACAGGTAAATATCTTTGTGAAATTGAGGAATGCTTACAGTAACTGATGACATTTCAGAATTTATATGCTCTAGATTTAGAAAAACTGTTTATGACAGTGTTTTAAATAGCACAGAAAGCATTTGAACTGAAGAGTACTTTTTTCCCCAGCTTTGAAATTTTGGTGTATGCCTTTCTGGTAAATGAATGCCAAGTAGACCCTTGTCAGTATAACTCATTTAACTAACTTAGGAGTCATAGTATGCACTGAGATAAGTTCTCCTTTCTTAAGATCATTCTAGTTAAAGACATACATGTGAGCTGATAAGTGATATATATAGCATGACATTGTACTTGAGGCATGAGTATAATGGTATAGTTACATTGTCATTATATGCAATTATATATAACTACATACTGTTACGTGTAATGTATGATATCATACAATTATAGTATATATGATGTAAGATAGTAAAAGGCTCAGGGAGCCCAAAGGAGGGAGTAAGTGACTTGGAATTGAGAAAAATTTCCCAGAAGAATGATGTTGGGGCACCTGGGTGGCTTAGTTGGTTAAGCAACCAACTCTTGATTTTGGCTCAGGTCTCATGATTCATGGGATCGAGCCCCGTGTCAGGCTCTGTGCTGACACCATGGAACCTGCTTGGGATTCTCTCTCTCTGTCTCTCTGCCCCTCCCCCACTCACACACTCTCTCTCAAATAAACTTCAAAAAAGAGTGATGTTGGCACAAAAACAGACACTGAGATCAATGGAACACAATAGAGAACCCAGAAGTGGACCCACAAATGTATGGCCAACTAATCTTTGACAAAGCAGGAAAGAATATCCAATGGAATAAAGACAGTCTCTTTAGCAAGCGGTGCTGGGAAAACTGGACAACGACATGCAGAAGAATGAACTTGGACCACTGTCTTACACCATACACAAAAACAAACTCAAGATGGGTGAAAGACCTAAATGTTAGACAGGAAGCCATCAAAATCCTCGAGGAGAAAGCAGGCAAAAACCTCTTTGACCTTGGCCGCAGCAACTTCTTACTCAACACGTCTCCGGTGGCAAGGGAAACAAAAGCAAACATGAACTCTTGGGACCTCATCCAAATAAAAAACTTCTGTACAGTGAAGGCAACAATCAGAAAAACTAAAAGGCAATGATGGAATAGGAGAGGATATTTGCAAACAACATATCAGATAAAGGGTTAGTATCCAAAATCTGTAAAGAACTTGTCAAACTCAAAACCCAAAAAACAAATAACCCAGTGAAGAAATGGGCAAAAGACATGAATAGACACTTGTACAAAGAAGACTTCCAGGTGGCCAACTGACACATGAAAAAATGCTCCACATCACTCATCATCAGGGAAATACAGATCAAAACCACAATGAGATACCACCTGACACCTGTCAGGATGGCTAACATTAACAACTCAGGCAACAACAGATGTTGACAAGGATGCCGAGAGAGAGAATCTCTTCTGCACTGCTGGTGGGAATTTAAACTGGTGCAGCCAGTCTGGAAAACAGTATGGAAGTTTCTCAGAAAATTAAAACTAGAACTACCCTACGACCCAGCAATTGCACTACTAGGTATTTATCCAAGGCAACAGGTATGCTGTTTCGAAGGGACACATGCACCGCAATGGTTATAGCAGCACTATCCACAATAGCCAAAATAGGGAAAGAGCCCACATATCCATCGATGGATGAATGGATAAAGGAGATGTGGTATATATATATATATATATATATATATATACACACACACACACACACACACAATAGAGTATTAGTGATCAAAAAGAATGAAATCTTGCCATTTGCAACTATGTGAATGGCACTAGAGGGTATTATGTCAAACGATATTAGAGAAAGACAAATAAGACTTCACTCATGAGGACTTTAAGATACAAAACACATGAACATAAGGGAAAGGAAGCAAAAATAATATAAAAACAGGGAGGTGACAAAACATAAGATGCTTAAATATGGAGAACAAACAGAGGGTTATTGGAGGGGTTGTGGAAGGGGGGATGGGCTAAGTGGGTAAGGGGCATTAAGGAATCTACTCCTGAAATCATTGTTGCACCATCTGCTAACTAACTTGGATGTAAATTTAAAAAGAAGTTAAATAAAAATGAAAAATAAAAATAAAATGAAAAAAATGTGGTGTTTATGATTTTTCTCTTTATAGCCTAAGTTTCACTCTAATTTAGCTAGACTTTTAAAACATACTGTTTGACACTTAGGTATCTTTCCTTAGTGCTTTGAAATTCTCTTTCTTTTTTTTTCTTTTTTTTTTGATTTTTATTTAAATTCCAGTTAGTTAACAAACAGTGTAATATTAGTTTCAGGTGTACAATATAGTGATTCAGCACTTCTGTACATCATCTGGTGTTCATCCTGCCAAGTGCACTCCTTAATCCCCATTACCTATTACCTATTACCATCCCCTCCCCCACTCTAGTAAGCATCACTTCCTTCCCTGTGGTTACGAGTTTGTTTCTTGGTTTGCATCTTCTTTTTCTCCTATGATCCTTTGTTTTGTTTCATTTCTTTAAATATTTTGTCTTTTCTTTGTTCCTTATTAGACAGGTATTGGAACATAGAGGTTTCTTTTATTTTTGTTTTAGCTTTCATTTTATTCATTTTTCCTTCATTTCAGGAGAAATCCTAGCTTCGTTTTCCAGACACTAACTCATTCTTCATCAGTGTCCTTTTATTTAGCCTATCTGAGTTTGTGTTTTAGAAATTCTGTTTTTCATTTTTAAGATCTCCTTGTTGATTTTAATAGCCACTTTTATTTTTATAACTTACAGTCTTTATTTCTTAATTGTTTTAACCTCTCTGAGTATAAAGCACATTCTGTAATGTTCTGGTATATCTGCTTCCTTAGGTGCAGGTTATTCACAGAGTTTGTTGTTTCTTACATGATGTTACTCTTCCTTTGTGTTGATTTTTGATTGTTTTATGTGCTTGAATTCTCTCATGAGAGTCTAAACTTACTACTCTGCTTATGTATTCTCAAGATAGCTTCAACTTGATATCTTTGGCCTTCATCCTCCAAGAGTTCATTTTCTTGTCATTGAGTGTGGCTTTATTTTCATCAGTATATGTTTAATTTTTTTTTAATGTTGATTTTTGAGAGAGGGAGAGACAGAGCATGAGTGGGGGAGGGGCAGAGAGAGAGGGAGACAGAATCTGAAGCAGGCTCCAGGCTCTGAGCTGTCAGCACAGAGCCCAATGTGGGGCTCAAACTCAAAAACCTTGAGATTATGACCTGAGCCAAAGTCGGATGCGTAACCAACTGAGCCACCCAGGCGCCCCTCTGTTTACTTAGTTTTAAGCTTAAAGTGCCATTTACTTGGAGAAACTTATCCTGACTTCCCAACTTGTGTGCCATGTTACTCTGTTTTGCTTTTATAGCCCTGTATGCGTAGATTTTGTCTTTAAAAGCAATATAATAAAATGATTTGTGTCTGATACCTCCACCAGACTGTAAATTTCATGGAGACAGAAACCACATTTTTAATTATATCCCTGGTACCTGGTGCATATACCTGATGTAACCTATCCTGATGTAGGGCTGACTAGCCATTAAATATCACACTGAACCTACACTGACTTTCTTTTCAACTAGATAATCTTGTTTTGAAATTTGATTGAATAGTTGGTAGTTTGTGGTCAATAGGAATTTAGTTTTCTCATTTGTATGTATTCTGTGTCTTTCACTAAATACTTAAAACATCACATGTGTCTTAATTTAGAAAATTTGCACGTTTACACTCAAAGGATACTTGGTTTTAACATAACACTAGACTATAGATAACAGTACTTAGATCAGTAATAACAGTATAACTAATAAATTTATATTTAAGATACCCTAGAAGTTAGATCTAAAATATGGAAATAATACATATGAAATTCATTTTAGATCATTGTATGTTATGTTTACTGTTTTATTATATTGTTATTGTAAATTATTCTTATTTAAATGTTTTCTTCCCGTAGTTCATTTCAAACAAATCAGTTTACTGGAATGATGTATCAGACAGTATTGCTTCCCCATCGACATTCTTTGAAAACAGGAAGCTTAGACGAAGCAGTAACTCCTAATACAGCACCAGCACAATGGCCAGGTACAAATAATTTGTATATATATATTTTTATATGTAAATAAAATATATATGTAAATATACATATGAGTTTTTTCTCAGCCTTATTGAATTAGATGAGGAAAAAGTACATTTGGCATAGTTTTGCTGTATGTTAATAACTGTTAACATAACAGTTAACATTGTTAGAATTGATACCACTTGAGTATTTCCCATTCGTTATATGTAGTTACTTAACATTGGTATTTCCTTAGCCATTTTACTAAGATAACTCAAATGTTTTGTTATCACTTTTTATACTTTTGTTATAATAGGAGATCATTTGTAATGGCAATTAAATTTTGTCTTTCAGATTTATAGATCTTCATCATTTCTCTAAGTTGAACAGATATCTCAGTGTTTGTGCATTAACTGTAATAACCTCTACTAGTCTGTGAATCTGCAGAAGAAAAACTTTTAATTCTGATGTAATAAAGTTTTTTATAGTTGATTTTTTTTTTTAATTTATTGTCATTAGTAGCTATGTTTGTTGTTTGTCCTAGGCATAACTTCCCTAATTCGACTTTTGAATTCTTCTGGCGAGGAAGCCCAGTCAGGGCTTACAGTTTTACTCTGTGAGATTCTCACAGCAGTGTATCTTAGTCTCTTCATCCATGGCCTGGCGACACATTCTAGTAACGAACTATTTCGGATTGTGGCCCATCCTCTAAATGAAAAAATGTGGTCTGCTGTGTTTGGTGGAGGTGCGCATGTTCCCAGCAAAGAACAGACACACTCAAAACCTTTACCTGGTTAGTTTTTCATCAGTTTCATTTATTTATTTATTTTTAAGACTGGAACTTTATTTATTCATCTGAATGATAACTTTGTCAAGCGTAATGACGTTTTAACTTATTCACACAAAATTCTTATTACAGACCATTTTCTTAAAGCATGAATAAATAGTTTTATGGTGAAAACGCAGTATGAAGTTTCTGGTGCAGTTTCCAAACTTTACGATACTCATGCACCAGTGATTAGAACTGTAATGTAATTTTCTTAAATCTTTTACTATTGAAATTATCATTTGTTTTGAAATATACTGTAACTGTGGTCTTTGTTCTATCCCAAATACAGATTCTCTCTTCTTTCTTTGGCAGGAAGGCACTTTGCTATGCCTAGCCCCCACCAGGTAGTGGTATTCTCCATGGAATGTGTGGGCTTTACCAAAGCTCTTTCAGCCATCAGTTCTCATAGCCCTCCCAGTCTTGCAGGCAAGATACTAGCTTTAGAAATAGGCTTTTACAGTTCAGCTTGCTTTGTGTTTTTTTGAAGGGGTTGGGGTACCTTGGGCCCATTTTATTTTGTTTTGCACTTAACAGTAGAAAATTAAGAAATTTCCTTTATTTAATCAAGCCATATTTTTGATTTAAAACAATGATTAGCCTTTTAGAAACCACAGTCTGCTCTTAAATTGTTTTGATGTTATCTATTCCTTACACTCTTAACATAATTTTAAATGTGTAGAAATAAATGTCAGTGCTAATCATGGTAAATCAGACTATGGCTTGAAATGACTGGAAAACATTTCAAATTGGCTGCTTTATGTTTTGCATACTATGATTCTGGCCATTAGGGGATTTGGATTTCTAAGTGTTCATAATACCAGGAAAAGTAAATATTTTAAACAACTGTATTCCTGTTTCTAAACTTTCTAATAGTAAAACTCTATATATTGCATCTTGACCTGAAAAGAATCTTCATAATGCTTTCTACCTTTCTGTTAAGTTTTCTTTTTGTAATTTATTAGCCTGTGTGTGTTAATCTTAGTTTTCAAATTTTAACAAATATTTTAATTTTTATAACCTGTTTTCTAATTTTTAAAGAGTAATTTCTCATGCTTTATTTTTTATATGGACAAAAAAAAAAAAGACTTTTCATGAAACTTGCCTGGGAATATATATACTTCAGATATCTGAATTCAGTTAAAGAAAAACCTTCAAAGTCTAAGAGGGGGGTATAAGATAGAGCTCTACTGAGATAAGCATTAAGCAAAAATGGTTCCCTAATTCAGAACTAATTTAATGTGTTCTAAGAGAAAATTACTTAAAACTTTGATCTTATTAATGTGAAATGTTAAAAAGGAATAAATTCTAGCTATGGAATGTCCAAATACCTGTAAAAAATTAAAAATATTCTTACCAGTCACTATGTCTCAATTCCGACCAGTTCTTCTGAGCACAGATGTGTAAAGAACCTTACTCAAAGTCTAATAAGTTCATTGTTTAACCAGGTTTAGTTTTTCGTGTATACAAATACCATTACTTAAATTATCTTAGAGGTACCATCATAAACTGTATTTCACCAGTCACTGAAGTAAGTAAGTAAGTAAGTAAATAAGTAAGGTGACCAAAAATTATCTGCATCTGTATATTTAATCCCTTGGATTAGGACTTGGTAGCCAAATAACACAGAATACTTAAAATATGTAGTTCACTTAGTAGTAGGGCTGGATATAGCCTTATCCAGATTATGTGATGCTCATCTGTCTTTGAGAACCTAGAAACTCTGCTAAACCAATCATTGATGTAGCTTAGTACTAGAAGAGGTATTTAAAAGTCACCATTTGTTTTCCTTCTTCTGGTCTAAATTCTAACTTTAATTTTCTTTGCACTAATGGTGTCATGAACTAAATTCTATTTCTCTGTACAAGTCTTTTATATACTTAATGTACTAATTCTTTTAGTGACAAAGTTTAAAACTATGACTAAGTTTTGTAATGTGAGAACATGGTAGATGTTTCTATTAGAGTTTAGCTTGGCAGGTCAGAATTCTTAACAAAAATGTTATGTAATAAATCAGTAATTTATTTTTTAATCAAATTTAATTTTGCAAATTCCACATCATATGTTAAAGATTCATTTTTTTGTAATTAAAACTAGTGTAGATGTATGTTCATGGAGTTTGGAATTTTTTTGTTATGGTTAATTTTTAAAGTAGACAATCAGGTAAGCAATAGCAAATTTCAAAAAATGATTTTTTTATGCTAACAGTTAGAAATCCATACTTTTGCTTTTTATTGCATATTATAAAGCAAAACTATTTTATTTGAAGAATTTTTATTGTATTTTGTAGTAATATTTGCAGTTGTGAGAACTGTGAATTTTTACCTTGATAAAATTTTAGTAATGATTTTTTATGTCTCCAAATTGAGGCATGAAATAAAAAATGAGTATTTTATTTGTAAGCCAGTTTTTTTTTTAACTATGAGACTGCTTATGATGTTTTAGACATTGTAAAGTGTGTTTTTGCCTTTTGATTATTTATGTTAAATACAGATCAGAAAATCCAGATGTTTTACTTTTTCCCCCTCCAACTTGTATCAAAATAAAAGTTTTGTATTCAGTATTTAGTGATTGATTATACATGTCATTGCTATCCTTCCTTTAGCAAAATATACAAAATAGCAGCATTTCTTGACCAGAAAAGGTAAGACTTGAGCATTTTAAAATAGAAAACAGCTGTTTAAAATATAGGTGAATATGCCAAATCCTTTTAATTGACTGTTTAAAAGTAGTACCATGGGACAGTTACCTCTAGATTTTTTATTATATAACCCTAGTGACAAAACATGCTTAACTAAGTCCTGCTTGGTTATGCTTAACAACAATGTGTGTACTTACTTATTTAAAATACATGTACTCTTTTGGGGCGCCTGGGTGGCTCAGTCGGTTGAGTGTCCGACTTCGGCTCAGGTCATGATCTCACAGTTAATGGGTTCGAGCCCCGCATCAGGCTCTGTGCTGACCGCTTTCTCAGAGCCTGGAGGCTGCTTCAGATTCTGTGTCTCCTACTCTCTCTGCCCCTCCCCCATTCACGCTTTGTCTCACTCTGTTTGTCAAAAAAAAAAAAAAAAAAATGTAAAAAAAAATTTTTTAAATAAAATACATGTACTCTTTTTGATCCAGATATTAAACAAATTTTGTTTTCTTCTTCCCCTTACCACTTAGCTCCCGTGTCCACTCCCCTTTTCACCCCTCCTTTTTTTTTCTTTCCCCTAATGCTTCTGCTTTCCCTCAGCCTCCTTCTCACTCTTCTTCTCCACTCTCCCTCTACTCCTTTCTTCTTTTGCTTCCCTTCTTACCCTGTTTCTCTTCTCTTCCTTTTTTCCCACCTCTACTCATTAAAACAACTCAATGTAAGTAGTGGATTTACTTACTACTTACTTAGATTTTATTTCCATATTCCATTGAATCACTGAACACCAACCACCTTGGCAACTACTCGCCCTGTGATTTGGAGATAGATCACTACTTTCTACTAAGGTAGTTGTTTCTTTTTTTTTTTTTTTTTTT